ATATGAGCTGTAGAAGATTAACTTTAATTAAAATTGCTTATTTGTTTAATAGGAAATTTTAGTAAATTGTCAATTGCAAGTTATATTAAGCTTCAGTGTCCTCCGTACCGTGAAGAACTAAATTACTAAGCCTTCAACATTAAAAGACTTGAGCATATATGGTTATAGATGTTTCTATTTCAGTGGACGTCATTTTTAAACCCTATTTGCACCAATCAGACGCGCTCAGAAGTACATGCAGCACTCAAATGTTCCCCATACAGATGATAAATTCTTTGCTGAAATGGAAGAACTCATATGTAATTCCAATATTTTCCGACACAAGAACACACCCCCCTCTAAATGTACACCAACAGATTCGTCGATTATTGGTTTTCATTTGGTTTTGTGTGCAATTTGTCATGCCGTCCGATTCTACAAGGATTCAAATTACCTACACGTAATGGATGACCTGTTTTAGGGTTGAAGTAATTATACAACTTTTACGTAGATATTTGTGTGCAGGTAAACACAAGGCTAGAAAGAAAATATGAACACGAGCAAGTTCTTGCTTAAAAAGGACAAGCAGACTAGGCACGAATCGCGCCCAATCCCAACACTAAATATGCTTTGACCAAACCCAAACGCTTACCCCATTAATGCAAAACAAATGTTCCGACCGGACTTGTTCAAACTACTCGATTTGTGCTAACAACTAACGCGGGTTCATTAAAATCGAATGCTTGGCGACCGTAGATACGTAGGACATTCCACTCAAGGCAGCATTCAGGGATTGAGCCCCACGCTGTCAACCACCTTGTCTCTCGTTTCTGATTGGTTGGCGTGGTCTTAGAACTACATCGGGAGTGGCCACAACTTCACGACGAGAGTGTGACAAACAAGGTGGTTTTAACACGATGTGAAGCCCTCTACAACCTATAGGAGTAAATCCTACATACTTTTAGCAGTGGTGTGAGTCAGGTTAGTCGGATTTGCTTTGAGAACAGATTTGACGGAATAGCTCTTATTGTCGGTTAAGTATTTTAGGCAAACAATTAGAACCGTCTATCTCTGAAGTGTCTAAAATGCCCATTATCCAAGCTCATGTCAACTTTCACCGTGAGTCATCGCTCAAAGACACACCGAATACTGACAAGAGCCTCGATTTTATCTAATTTAGCACCTCTTTTTACACGTTCCCCTACTTGGACGACAGACAGCGATGAAGATGATTTTATTAAGTCATGTTTTCATAATTTAACACTCACAGCAGTCGACTGCATCATGTGATTTTCTCGAGACTAAAGCTAAAATAAAAGGTGGCATTTTATGAGAGCCATAAAACCTACAAAGCAATATATTCTGGCAGTTTTTAAACAAAAACTACGCCCGTTGTTTAAATTCCAGTGCTTCTTTTTACAAACACTGAAATATTTAGGGAAATAATTCCGTACATACGGTCATTGTAACGGCCTAAAATGACACAAAATTTAAATACAAAATTGCACTGCTCAAATTTACAAAAAAAAATAGACAAGGTTGTTTCGCCTGAGACCGCATCAATGTGGTCGGGATATTTATATGACGTCAAAAGCTAAAATCGATATGTCCTCTGCCAAGACAGCCAATGAGAGGCGTTTGAATGCCTCGATCGTGTCGTAATTTTAAAGCATCTCAGTTATTTCGCGGTTTTGATTGGCTGATGTTTTTGCAGTTCCCAAATTAAAAACCTGTTATTTTGACCCATTTGAGATAATTTATGATTTATTAGTCATCAGAAGAGTTGCTCTCTCAAAGACATTTTATGGGAGATAATGGGCGTTGCCCTTACTTACTCGCTTTCATGACATAAGACTTATTTAGCGGGCCTAATGATGTTCTCACGTAAGCAAGCGATATTTTTTGGGCGCAATCGGGCTCTTATCTGTTTGACCTCGGCAATGTCGCATTCATTCCCTTAAAATGGAGCTTTGAATGAAAACATGATTTAGTCGAATTTGTGAGCCGAATTTCATGACGCGTTTCACATTTACGGCCGAGATCACGACATAAGCCATCGCAAACGCAAAAGTCATAACTAGTGGTCGTGAGTGTTGTGAAAACTGAACTGATCATAGCCTCACCATTTGGAAGAGTTCACTTCAGCCTTCTCTTGGTTTTTCCTTGACAATCGTGCATCCCTAGGCAACAAACAAAGGAAGCATTGTTTTACTAAAGTGTTGCCTGTTGTTGGATTATGTCAAAAAAAGGCGATTTTGCGAGCAGTAACTCACTTGTTGGCAGAACCTCCATCCTTAACGTAGACCCGTGGCAATCGGTTTGCTAACGACGCATCAGACAGGGCAAGGACGTTTAATTGGGTTGGTGCAAGTCTGGTCGAAGACGTCTGTCTGACGGTGGCATTATTCCGAACGAAGCGTCTCGATTTGTCTAAATTTGCAGAAGTACTGCGTGGAATGGTGTGTGGAACACGTATTCACCTCTTCAGTGTGCTCTGTTAGGGATCTGACATAAATATGGCTAGCGACATCAGAATAGGCATCTAAAATCACTAACAAGTATACATTCTGCCTGAAGTTTCGGTTGTAGGTGAGTTAGAAACTGATAACGTTGCAAAATTGGGTCTTCCGTAGATTTCCAGCCCAAAATGCACATCACACAAAATTAGACACATTTAATGAACTTTCGAAACGCATCGCTAGTGTTTGGTTCCTTACCTATTCCAGTAATATATCCAACTACTTTTTACTAATATACGTTGTCAGTGGCCTTGCTACTCACTTCTTTCATGTCTTGTTAAGTAGTATTTACAAAACAGATTTGATAGGATCGAGATATGTGGGAAAACTACATGTGCATAGTGCGAGGGTGACAGGCCCTTTTGATCTAACTTAAGAATGGGCGCATGAACTTTATCCTGACTTCAATGTACTTTAATGCAATGTAAAAGTGCATTTTTGGCCTACGGGAGGGCATTACAAGGCCGACGCCACTAGATACCGATATAACGACATCTCTTTTGCAGAATCAGTCTACAAACCCAACATTAATCTTAAAAAAATTTCTCAAATGAAAGCCACTTTTTTAGATATTTATGCTTGGGAGGCTGTTACTGATGCTTTTGATCAGAATTTAAAGAAATAAATATGGGATTAAAACGCAATAAGTTGGCACAATCCAACCTGACATTCTATTGAAGTTGAAATTGCTTCCTTGTGATACAGCACCAGTGATTTTACGATTCGTGTATTATTTTCTTGCAAGCACCAATTAGAGAAAATTAAGGCTAAAGTGACGATAGCTAGATTAAAACAAGAACCGTTTACGGAAATTAAGAATTATTCCTTGATTCAACAACAATGGTCATGGTGACTTCTGTGAATCTTTTACGACATGTCATGTTTATTTACAAAAATCAGGGCACACGTTAAATATGTAACTTGAAGAAGTTTCACGTCAATAGCCATAGTACTTAAAATGATTTTTTTGCCATATGTACAACGGATATGCTGACGCAATAATCACGGCCAACCATTCAAACAGTGAACCCCTGAAAAATGTTGGGAAGGTGACACGATGTCAAATATACTGATTCTTAATAAAATGCCACTGCGATCAACACATTCAATCGGGGTAATGGAGTTTGGTTTCGAAAACCAACGAATGCACCAATGAGACAGCGCCTAGTGTTCTAGCCACCAATCAACTGTCAGGCATATTTGAATCGTTTTGGACCAATGGGGATTTTTGGGGCACGTCTTGCAAGAAAGTACTCGGGGTGACGCCCATCCCTCAGACATTATACAGTGCCTCATCTAAGCAATTGTGTGGGTAATTGCGTTACTAACTAATTGTGCATCAGTAGCATTTGATGCTAAAAATATGTTTTAAGGCAATCGTCGAGTTTACGTCGTGTGAAAGGCCAGTAATGGCCACAAGAGATTTTAACCAAGATACCATGAGGCAATAAACATTTAAAACTGAAGCTGTTTTGGGCATTAGAGGATTTTCTCCGAATTGTTGAAAAATAAGTTGAGTGTGAAAAAGCGTTTTACACAACTCCGTTGCAGTGAAGACGGTTGCCAGAGCGCTTCAAGACAGTGTGAGGATAATGGGCCCCTCGTAACAGAAGCATGCAATCCAGTTCAAACAATTTTAGGTCAAAGAGGCGCGACACGTGATGTTTCTGTGCAGAAATCGACAAAAGTCACTAGAACGGATGTGTTGGGCGACGCACGTCAGAAAAAAACTGAATTAATTACGCAGCCTTGCACTCATCTCTAAATGGACAGTTTAAACCGATCTAGTTTAAACCTTAACTAAGCTGACCAACGGAGAAGGGATCTTAAGCGGACACTTAAAGTCTGATTGATTGTACACCGGGAAATCAATTAGATTACAACACTGAATAAAGCTTGGTCCATCGGTCTGACCGACATGACCTTCGCCATCATGAGAACACCATTCCCGGACTTTCAATCGACACATAAAATTGATAAATTAGGAAGGAAACACCATCGCGCCATATTCCAAGTGTTGCAATTTTCCCATCAACACACAAAACCAGACACTGATAAGCGCTGGCAATTTGTGGGAGCAGTGACCACCGACGTGCACACTCTGTAACACTTAATTAAACATCCCACTCTCATTGGACACTACATATTTCTCTGTCATATGTTTAACAAATAAACGGTGAGTCTTTTCATTGGCTGAAATGCATGAAAAACCTTCGATATATTTAAGGCAGTGTATAGTATTACTACTGACTCATTTTAAGCCAAGACGAAGACTTAAAAATGAAATCAAGGTTCAAAGCCATGGGCGGCTGTGAGAAAGAACGGTGTGAAGAAAAGTGACACAATAACGAACTGGAACCATGCACAAATAATTTATAAAAATACAAATTAGAAACAAGTGTGAGTGTCACAGCCGGACGGGACTTAGTGAAAGAAGGGCGGTGCATTGAGGTGCAGAATAACGACAGCAATACGGCTGGTGGAAGTGAAACGACGGTAGCACTAACCAGAGGATTTAACAAACTTTTCGCGGTATCTGGAAAGTGGCACCGAGACGAAGAATGTGGGGAGAATATTCTACCAAAGTATTAAAAAAATTGCTGCTAGGTGAAGGGCAAAGGACATAGCGAGGATAAGAGAGTGTAGCATGACATACTTTCTCTAATGTTCTATGAATTAGGTTATATAATTCATCAAAACAGTTTAGTTGTGGTTCGTTTTCTGAGCAGGCGGCGTCGAGAACATCTCTGTACTGTTCCAATTTGAGGCCCATAAAATCCTCCGAAGCAGGCGACAAATATCTAAAAAGAGAAAGACACTTATTATCACCATAAGGCCAAAGTTAATTACTTTGAACAAATTGTTGTAGCATCAAGTAGAAGCTGACGATGACGCTCTTCTAAAGACTCATCGTGATCGGCGACCATTAGCTCGCGAAACTCCTTCCTATAAGCATTCACAGCCAGGAGGAAAGTTAAGAGAATGGCCGCGGGATCTCCAGCTAGAAGCTAATTAACACAAATAATTAAAGGAAGGTAATTTCACGAGAAGCCAATGATAAGAAGTTCATTCGCCTTCCGCGCACCTCAACAAAATAAACCAGAAGGGTCTCATCAAAAAGCACGTCATCCAGGGTAAGTTGATCGTTCATAACTATTTCAGCACAAAAGTTGGTGAACGCCTGACTTTTTAAGAAGTCAGGAAATAAACTAAAGAAATAAAGGAAGGGGACAAAAATTTACTTGTTACGAAGTTTGGATTCAGCGAATTGGAGACAAGGAGCAAGCGCAAAAATATTACCAGGATTTTCTAAAATTCTCACTTAAACTTATAAAGAGCAAGCAAATTTACACAAGGATTCCGAAAGAAGCTCCATTGGCAACTCAACTGGGATCTTAGCTTCGCTAGAAATATAGCGAAAGTAAATTGTCGTAACGTCGTTAACTGGCAACTGTGATATCTTGTCCCGCAAGTTCTTCAACTCTTCACCCGAGAGAACGCCACCTTTGGATTCGAACTGATACGATTCGTCACATGTACTTCTGTTTATACAACCAGAAAGTTCCAGCCAAAATCGAAAAATACAATCTGAAGAAATATCATGCAAATATCGCGTAAAGTAGGATAATAATAATGGATCCTTTATGACGCTTTCAAATGGGGGGCTTAATCTAGAAGACCCCGAAGTCATGGTAACAAGTTATGCTGCAAAAAATGAACACATTGACAAAAATTGCATGACCTTACAAAAAAATACAAAACTACCGCGACTCTAGTCAAGGGCAAAATTGCGGAAGGCAACGAAACATTGACACAATTGGGTGCAGCTCGCAACGTTTATTATAATTTATTCTGACTTATACCATGTATAAAATGACAAAAAATCACTCAGAGCACCACAACTAGTGCCTCGTTGAAAAACCTTGTTGTCAATCAAATAAATCTCAGAATTACCAAATCAATAAAAAATAGATCACTACGCGAAATAATCGTTATGGAACCAATCTAATTACCATCTTAGAAAGCAAATAAATAATCTAATAAGCTGATATAGAGATGTAAAACTTAAGATTTTCTCGATATCTCGTGTGCTTTTCGGTTAGAAATATTTTTGACGTCCTGAAATGTGAATATGCTTTATTCCAACAAAATTTTACCAGCCGTTAATCTAAACAAAAGCCTTATGAGAACTCTTTAGTTTATGTCAAAATTACCGTCTTACTGCCTTATTGTCGCTTAACCTTAGATTTGGTGTGGATTTTTTCGGTTGCTGTTTTTGTAATTTTGTGGTCAATCGACCTCTCAGAATGTGTTAGTTCAAAAGTTCGTATTTCAAAAAAAACATTTATTCATTTATGAAAATGCACAACCTTAGATTTCTAAACTTTTTAATGATGTGTGTGTAATCAAATGATGCTTCTCAGTTGAAAACAAACTGCCCAATTTTAAGTAACCGAGATAAAAATGTAGTCATTAAGATATTAGGCTTTAACACGACTAAATTCCTCCCAAGCAGGGACGGGTTTTTTATTTCTTTTTACCAAATGCTATACAATACTTATATTGTTGCGTAGTGATTTGGAATTGAATACGACTGACTTCATAACTTCGTCACATGCATTTAATATGGTTGAGATAACTTGATAAAATTGAGATAATCATTATTTGAGTTTATTTTGCAACCTGTGCATGGAAAGCACAAGTTTCTTTGTAAGTTACTAAAATTCTCTTATTAAATTTAAATTGCTTGCGTATTATCAGTGTAACTCTGCTGTGTCACAAACCCACAAGAAGCTGTATGCAAAATTCGGTACTCATTGTATGGTTCGAAAATAGACGATAAAGGCCAGCCGATGGCCCTTTTAGATATCGAAATAATTATGCTAAATTTTTACATGCATGCCTTTGACAAAATGTCAAGTTATGACCTGTTCATTCGGCAAGCTTTCTAAATAAATTCCCCCTCCGTTTATAAAATGACTACAAATACAAATCTTTAACCTCTGCAGCATGGGAAAGTGCTAAAAGAAAGGATACGTGGAATTTACAGAGTATTTTTGATAATATAATGATAAGTATAAGATGCTCCATAATCCAGACAACCATTTACGGCACCATACAGCACTTTTAACACATGACGCTAAAATACCTGGGCAGTTGTCGAGTTACTTTTACGAAACACGTATTAAGCTGTGGGAAGCGACATGCTTGTCTATAATCAAAAAGGTCTAAATTAACAAGCAAATCGGGTGGCGTCGAATGATGCTTCTGGTAAATACTATGGATGTTACTTAATGCTCGGAAGGGATATTGATTGTGACAAAACTAAAGTTAGGTCAATCCCAAATTTTCAGTTCAATTAACTGTATCAGTGTTTTTTAAAACAGACTGGACATAATGCAGCCTCGTTCAAAAAACCGAGGAAAATATTTCGGGTAGGGTCAACGAATACATTACAGTTGATTTAACGAACAAGGATTCGGACTGTGACTCATTCTTGCTAATTGTAGCACCTTTATCATTTGCTCGAATTCTGACCACGTAATCACCATGCGGCACAAACAACGATTTCCACGCCTGTCTGTACAGCATGCAATACCACGCACCCCCTCGCAGGCCAAAACTAAGTCTGCAGATTGAAGATATAAGCAAAATATGCGAATACAACGGAGGGTACGATGGTAGTATTTACCGATTGGGAGCAATACACATTACCATGCGCAATGGGACATATTCACTAACGAGAGTACTTAAATGCTTCCCCAAGCCAATTCGTGACTACCTCCACACAGACAGTCAACTTTTGCGTTGTCCGTGTTTAACGTTTCTGTGGTTTTAACAAATCGCTGGATGCATTTTCACTCATAGAACAATACACAAAGTAGGTCACTAATATCTGTTAATCTACAGCATTGGACACAATTTAGTAATATAAATATTCAACTCCCTACGCTTTAATAGTGGATAAATCAGAAATCGATCGAATCAATACATCCTACAATGAATGGTGAGGAATTGTGAAGAACACAAATCAGACCAGTAAAATTCCCCAACTGGAAGGTATTTGATGCATATTTAGTCCAGATGCCTCTAGAATGGGATAAACAGTTCATTTTGCACATTGCCATGCCAAAACCGATAAATTTGTTAGCATCCGCTAGCCTAGCTATTTAACACGGAAATTTAGGCTTTAGCACTTCATCAGTCAATTTGGTCGGTAGGCAGAGAACTCAAGACGAGGGCAGATCGGCGAGAACATGCATCGCAGTTTATTAGGACGCGAAACACTCAGTAAGCCTCTCAATTGTTAATTGCATTGACATTTTAAGCGATCCAGGTACGTTTGCGAGGAGACGGCAGGTTCAGATAAGATGGATGATGCAAGAACAGCGACGCAGGCCATCTAACAGGGGGTGAGGACTAGACATTGTCGCCTGGCAAAGGAGAACGCGCGTCACGCTAGGTAAATGAGGCTGCGCTAGGTCTTCCGAAAAAACAACGGCGCGAACATGTTCAGCGCACCGACCAGTCTTTCCGAGACGTACGTCAGCGGACTGAGGCAGCACTGGAGAGCCTAAAAGGAGACCGCACGAGTCCAGGTTGGGCTATGATGCGTGGATTGCGCGCGGTTTCACCACTGACAACTCACCTGATTAGACAGGAAACCCATTTGTTCGGGGTAGATGTGCGTCAGGCAAGCCAACAGCGCTGTTAGCGAACACAAGACCGCCGTGAAGATGATGAAAAAGGGGATGTCCTTTTTGGGATACACGGAGACCGTGTGAAAACCTAGAAGTAACAAGACACAGAACACCCAACGTAGGCAACCACGAAGCCAGTTTAAATGCGGCATCGAAGGGGTAGACTCACTGGGAAGAAGTTCCCTGTCGGTGGCCTCGGTGGACTGCGGGTAGGGGTAAAAGAGGTTCCCCTTTTCCAGGGGGTAGGGGATCAGCCTGAAGGTGCCCTCCCACGTACAGTGGAGGAGGTTCAGCGCCCCGTCCACCGCCTTCCAGTGCGCCAGATGAAAGAAACTGTAGGCGATCGCCTCGGAGTCACCGCGCTTGAGAATGTGCTCCGTGGGAAAGATCAGCGGCTTCATCTCTAGCAGGTACTAAATTGGAAGGTTTGGGAGAAATGTCAAACGTCTGGTGTTGTCGACAGTGACTAGTCACCGCGACAAATGGTCACATTTTGGTGCAGATTTCGGCCGAGTTAGAAATCAGCTGCGCTTCCAGAATTCTTTGTATAAGGTGTATGACTTAATTTTTACAGATTTTTTTAGCAAATATATTTCATGTCATAAAATAGAGAAGAGTGAACGTAATCTTGGGAATAGTGTCCACCGTTTTCTATGAACTTGCGAAACTTGCAGGCTTTGAGGCAATCAAGTCCTCCACGAATTTACGCACATCCTACAGCGTTTAAGGGACTGTTTATTCAACAAGGCCTGCTGCTGCCTCATTGAACGCGGTGAACATGCCGCGTGTGGGAGAACTTCCCATTTGGAATTCAGGAGGGTCGTCCCAGTTGCGCAAGCAACGTGAGGTGGTCAAGCGTTGTCATGCAACAACAGCGGCAGCATGACCTGCCTGCTGCCTGGTCCAGTAAATGGCCTTTTTCATCACACTCTACGCTCAGTTTCCTCAACTGACGGTTGTAGCGAAGCGCAGTCACCATCTGACGACCAGGTTCTAGGAGTCCGCAACAATGTGCACCCTTCATGCCTCATCAGATAAACAAAAACAGATACCTCCCCCAAGTGGATATCCTGTTTCGGCGTCGATGTTCGGATCTACC